GAATAGTTTCATGTATTTAACGAGAATGTTTTATAACAATCAATTCATACTCGAATATGGTGGATTGAATGTTTGACTTTTACTCTTATGCGTGTGCGGTCATTTTTGTATGAATGCGGTAAATTGCGGTGAATTCTAATATTAAAGAATCCAAATGACGAAATTTTAACCGCATTGCCTTTAAATTTAACCACACACTACTCAGTAACCGCATTTACATTAAAATTTACCGCAAATTTTTTTGTGTGTGTTGTCTTACTTTTTAAAATATGCTCAGAGACGCAATACGTTTACACATAAACAATATGCAATGGAAATTTTCGCTAATGGGCTCAAGGTAGATAGATCTTCGTTTTTAATCGTGAAAATGATGCTATTCAATAGTTTGCAAAGACATTAGTTGAGCTACAAAAATATCACAAAAAATGGGCAATTAAACGCAACTTTAATAGGTTGTAATTGAACTGATTTCTTTAGCGTATGCAGACATTTTTATTAAAAATTGATGAATTTTCTTTGTTATAAAATATTCAATTCCATCGTGATAAATCCCATTAAGTGCTTCGTTTGCACAATTTAGTTACGACATGTTGAAGTCAACAACGAATATGTTTTGTTCAGATCACAATAAACAAAAACAGGAAATATAATGGACGTCAATTCATGACAATAGTTTTATTTTTTCTTCTTTTGTACATAAGGGAGCATTTTATCAAAAGTCGAAGCATAAATTATTACAATTAAATTGGATATGGTTTTCGAATTTAAGAAGAATTTCGAGAAGAAATTCAGTTTTTTAATTAATATGTTGTACCCATACCCAATCGACTAAATCACAAAATCATTCATTTTAACTTGAAAAAACTTGATAAAAAGACTTGAATTTTTCCAAATGAATTTAAATCAAAAATATTTGGTTGTCTCCTGACTCAATTACACGTATAGATAAATTTAATTCTATATGTTAGATAATGTAAACGAGTAAATAAAAAGAAGACGAATGAAAGTGTAACTTTGAATCAAACACAGTGGCACATGTACAGTGACCTCCGTGTGTAACATATAGAATGTACGCATTCTGAGTAACAGTAGCGAAAAAGTGTCGGGCCTCTTTTGTTGTCAATGCTCCGTTAAACGTGTATCCGGTCAATTGCTTTAAACAAATCTTAATTCAACATATATAACACGACTTCTTTTGACGAAATTGAAAAGATTAAACGAACACATTCGAATTGGCTCGAAAATTTGTCGTCGAGAAATGCGGTCATCTCTATGCAGAACTTGATGAGTTTGAATTGATTTAATGGGCTAATTGGCAAGTGAGTTCATTTTTTTACGGCAAAGAACATAACACGCGCTCCAATGTAATAACTGACACATTATGCTCAAAACGCGATTTCGCATCCGATTATCCAATCCAACGGAACTGTTCAGAATAAAAAAAGACGTCAAATTTCATCGAAACGAAAAACCAGAATCGAAAGAGTTACAATAAGGAATTAAAAAAAAACTTCCGAAAATTTAACTTAAACAATAAGGAATTAAAAAAAATATTGCGCTCTTAGCCGTCTTTGTCAATTTTGTTATTATAAATCTCTCTGTTTGTTTTCAATTCGTTTAGAATGAGAACATTTGTGACCATTTTAGTTCTTGGCGATTCACTTGGACTTATAATGAAGTTCAATCATCCTGTGTAAAGATAGTATATAAGATCTAGTTCATATTCAAAAATATATGATAGAGCAAAAAAGTGTGGTGAACGTTACACTTGGCTTGAGACTCGTGACCGCCATTTAATTTTATTATTTAGTTTGCGATTTCTATAGATCGTTTTGCATCCAATTTTTAACTGAAATAAAATGTTAAGAAGGATTGCTGTTTCATTCAACAGCGCAAGATTATTGTGCAATCCATCAATACAAAGTCGAAATTTTTCAAACAACGAGTGTAATGATAAACCAAAAATTTTAATAACTGGCAAGTATTTAGTGATTTTTATGATGTTGTGCTATTCATTGTGACCACCTTCACTGTTATACAAAAGTTCAATAAATTAAAAAAAAATTAAAATAGGTGGGCTTGGTCAACTTGGTATTGAATGTGCAAAGTTGCTGCGAAGTAAATACGGTGAAGATTCCGTCATTCTATCCGATATCATTAAGCCAAACCGATCATTGACACAAGGTGGACCGTATATATTTGCTGACATATTAGACTTTAAAGTAAGCATAATTCCACGATGCATACGAATCAGAGCCGTTATTGGCACCACGAAGATGTGCGCACTTTTCTTGCAAGTGCTTGCTCTTTCTCGTATTTAGACGCGGAACTTGATATGGAATAAGTGAGTGCCATTAACAGCTCTGACACGAATCAAATTGATTTTTCCACTTTATCGTGGGCCGCCATTATAAAGAAACTATAATGGTAATGTTTACAGGGTCTTCAAAAAATCGTTGTCGATCATCGCATTGATTGGATTATCCATTTTTCGGCGCTTTTGAGTGCAATTGGCGAGCAAAATGTGCCGTTAGCTGTAAGGTAAACGGTGAGAAACAAATGATAAAATTGAAAATTTCAACTTGAGCGTTAACAGTGTCGTTTCATTCGTTGCGTGTATTTAAAAATTATTCCGTTCCGTTTAAATTGTTGTAAATATTATTTTAGTAGCGGCAATGCTCTATAGTCATTTTCAAATTTACCGTTTTTGTTCAATTCTTTTCGGATCAATGTTCCATTGTAGCACATTCAGACGAACCAAAGCGGACCGATTCAAGAGATGAAACAAGTGAATGTTCGCTCTTTTTTTCATCTATGTGTCTCGTTCACTTGGTTGCCATTTGGATCTGTGCTGCGTGATGTGATGTGATGTGATGATAATATTTGTGCATGTGTACATCTGTTTACATTTCAGAGTCAATATTGAAGGAGTACATAATGTCATTGAATTGGCCAAGCAATATAATTTACGTATATTCGTGCCCAGTACGATTGGCGCATTCGGTCCCGACTCCCCGCGACATTTTTGTCCTAACATTACCGTAATCACTCATTGTGTATTTTTTATGCATTGCTATGTATATACTCTTTTAAATCACGGCGACACTTTTTTGTTTCCATTTCGTTTTTGATCCTTTCCCTTTCTCTCTCGCTTGATTTCTGTATTTTTTCCTTTCCTTACTCTCTCTCTCTCTCTTCTATACTCTTGCTCGCTCTAAAAACATAGTTTTGCTTTCAATTTTCGGTCCAAACAAACGTTTGCCATTGCACATTTGTTTTCATATCGTTATGTGCGTTTACAGATTCAACGGCCACGTACCATTTATGGTGTATCCAAAGTCCATGCAGAGCTAATTGGCGAGTATTATCATCACAAATTTGGCTTGGATTTTCGTTGTTTACGTTTCCCCGGTGTCATTTCTTCCGATCCACCAGGTGAGGTGTACTGTTGATTCCGTTCAAATTCATACCTTAAATTATTATGAATTTCATTTCGTTTGATAGGTGGCGGTACAACGGGTGAGTTTTTCACTTTGTTCATATGAAAACGAACACGAAACAAGTATTTTGAATGACGAACGAGGTAGGAAGGACACAGTCTCTCGTCTCTCGTTTTTTTATATTCCTAATCACCATGTGAAGCCTCTGCTGAATTAAAATGTTACCAAAAGTGGAAAAAAATGCCAGTTCATTGGACTAACAACGAAAAAAACCTTTTTTGCTATTTTTTATTCGACAAAATGAAAATTCTCTCTTTCTACGCACTCCATTAGATTATGCTGTTGCAATATTTCACGAGGCGCTTCGAAGCGGCCACTATCAATGCTACCTAAAACCCGACACACGTTTGCCAATGATGTATATCGAAGGTGAAAATAAAAATACGAACAAAACATTAATAATTAATATTAATTAATAAATGTTTATGATTTTTTTTTATAGATTGCCTACGGTAAGTATTGAGGGCGCACATGTACATAAATCCAAAGCGAATGTTATGCAATTAGCTGGAAATCTAGGCCGACATGTATCGATTATTCTATCGATTTTCATCATATTTCAGTTCTCTGTGGGAATTTATGACGGCACCCAGTGAGTGCCTGCAACGCAGAGTGTACAATGTAACTGCCATGTCATTCACTCCTGAAGAATTGGTCGAAAAACTTTATAAATATGTTCCGGAACTACGAGTAACTTACAGACCAGACAGCCGACAGAATATCGGTATAAACTTGATATGATTTTTTTTTCGTTTAACAAATCATTTACATTCTCGATAAAATGCTTTGAATATTGTAGCCGATTCATGGCCACAGGTTTTTGACGACTCCGATGCACGCCGAGATTGGAATTGGAAGCCAAAATATGATTTAGACAAATTGGTCGATCTTATGGTACAAGATGTGCGAGAAAACTACCTGAAAAAAGATTGCAACGCGCAATAGTTTTAGCAGAATATTAAACTTTTGCACTTGTTAAACAAACAAAAATGAAGAAAAAATCAATGTGTCGCCATGAATTTAAAAACTTATGTTTTTATAATGCTTTTATTATTTAATATCAAATTCATAACAACGACATTGTGCATAAAAAAAAACCTACGTGTTTTATTCATTTAAGGAACCTAAAATGAATCAACCATTCGTTTTTTATCTACATTTCTACATATGTAGGCGTTTGTGTGTCAAACCATCAGAATCATACATTTCAGCTCAGTGAATTGACGTTTAAAAAGATTGATAATTACACAAAAAAATGAAGAAAGTTCTGCAGAAACAGTACAAAACAGGATAAGTAGGCCATTTTCTTCCGAATAATTTGAAATTATTAAACATTTGATTCAAATATTTCAATGAATAATTAAAAATGGAAAACGGTAAATCGATGATTAAATCGAAGTCTATCGTAGATTCAATGAAATTTACTGTTGGAAAATATTCTCTCTCTCTCCCATTCTGGAACCAACAATCAACGAGAATTGTTTGTATACGTAAAAGTAAGCAAAACTGTTCGTAAATCAATGCACCTGACCAAAATGTAAATATGCAAAGAGGACATTGAGCAAACTATAAAATGCATTGAACAGTGATAGCAGTAAAATTGAGCGCAAGTTGACTGTTTTCGTATAGACCACAACTAATTTTTAAAGTGCAGACGGTGAAAACCATCGAAAAGTGTTACCAAAGAGCAAACGAATGGCAAGGGAATGAAGGCGCATGAAAACTATTGACATTTCAACTGTAAATAAAACGATACAAAACTTTCGTTATCTTATGTATTTAATAAATCTTGAAGCGGATGGTTTGGTTTTGTTATGCTCGTGGATTTGGTATTTAGATTTCATCCGTTAACTGAACTGTTCGTATCGAATGCTATTCACAGTATTCAAATGGTGTTTCGTTGCCGAATTGAACAAAAAGCTTTCGAATTCACGCGGCTACTCGTATAAATATTCCAATGAAGGTACTTTACAGGTTTCTGCCCGTCTTCTCTTCTCTCTGCTGTTCGATGGATGTGGCTTATGTGTACTCATCATCATCACCGTCGTCGTCGTCGCCTGCTACTGCTGTGTTTCAAATATTCCTTGAATTCGTCCCCACACCACAGTGAAAATGTTCGGGTGCTCATTTTTCCAAACAAGTTCATCAAAACCATTCTTGGATAGAGCCATTCATATCTGAAAGTCCTGGCTCCGGTTAACATATTGGATTTGGTATTCCGTTCTCATTGGAATGCATGTGTATAAATTCAATTGATAAATTGTACATCATGAATGCTTAATTTACTTTTGCTCAACGAGTGTTTGTATGCGTTCGCTTTTCGGGAGCAAATACCGTAGAAAAGCAAATGATTGACATTAAAAAGTTACTGGCTGCTTTTGCTATCTTGTGCTCACACTCTATTTTATCTATCGTCGTTCTCTTGCTCTCTGCATGTGTCGCAATGATCTGAGAGTATGTTTTCTCTCTCTGTCACTCTCTTTCTTCATGCTTATCAGTTTGTTCTCTTTAACAAACGAGTGGAGATTGAAATTTTAGCTTTTCAATTTTCCACCAACGAATGTCAATTTTCCGAATGCCATTTATGCCATATCGTCGATTTGTCGATGGTTGGCGTCCGTGCCACACGGTTTAATGCAAACGGGACACAAGATGAAGAAGCGGAAGATAAAAAAAAGTGCGCATACATCAAATGAATCACAGCGCACAACGATGATTTACGAAGCATAACATTCATTATACCTCTTCAAGTCTGAATATACCGTCAATTTCACCAACAATATCATCTTGTAATGGTGGTGATGCTTACTTTTATTGCGATATTTCACATGCAATTCATGCTTCGGTTTAGCAAAAACGGTTCTCATTTAGAATGCGTGTGCATTTGAATTGTGAATTATATTCGCTGATTCGACACAATCGATATACACTCACAAGATTTGTCAATTATGTAAACATTCATTCCGATATGTTACGTTGAATGCGAAAAGCGCGCGCACACACACACACACACCATAAACTTGAAAAAGTATGTGTGGAACGTGTCAGAACGATGATTTATGCAGCTCACACACTAAATATAAACAATTCCTAATTAATTGGTATTGAAATGTTAATTGAATTTGAACCACGTAAAATAGACACACGACAAAGAAAATCGTTATAAGCGCGCGATTAATTTAAATTATAAAAACGAATCAATCAGGTCATCTTTATGAAAACCGTTTGGAAGCCAATTGGCTTGATGATGATCTGACACGGAAAGAAAATTTCATGCTCGAAAAAATGTACGCTTGAATATCAATTTATATCAATTGCAATTCAATCAAATTTACTGCGTATTCGTATACTGCTTTGTCGATGAAGAAATATAAATGGGAAAATGTCGTAATTGGACACAAAAGCAAATAATTACAGTTACTTTGGGTATCGTAGTCAGTAGCGAAGAAATGTAAAAAAGACTCATTTCTTTTGGTATGGCACAAGGCACATTTGTCATAAATGAACGATTATTTAGAAAATTCTAACAACATAATCAATCAAAATAGGAAAATATACCGACATTTTCCGCTTTATGCGAACGATACATGAACACCAAACCGCCAAAGACAAGCCACTTCTGTGATGTGAATTCATTACCATAAAGAAATTTGTCGTTACATTTTGCAAACATTTTCTATTTTGCTATTAGCTTTTCCACTCTGGTTGCATTTTACTTCGGCCAACAATTTCGAACACGACTTTCACTGCAATCAGAACGAAGAAGAGAGAACAATCTATATATATAAAAATATATGTGTATAAAAGCTCAATTTAATCGAAAATGTTATGGTTAAGTTATGTTATTGTCGATGGAATCGTGTGAAAATATGACTATCGTTTAATTGCACAAATGGGATTTGGGATGCAGTATACGTATGATTTACGATATTGAAAATTTCCCGACACTTGATGCTCGTGTGAGACACACAATCGAAATGTTAAAGGGGAGAAAATTAAAGAGCCGATAGACGAGAACAAGGAAATTCAATCTAATGAAAAATATGAAAAGGAAAAAAAACGACCGATTAAATGTGGTTTTTCGGTGGGAATTTTTTCTCCCGAATTTTGGATCGAAATGATAGAAATCATTAAGCCACATGCACAAACGCACAATCAATGAGCTGAGCATGAGGGTGTATGTTGCACTTTACAACACGAGCACATCGCAACCAAAACCAGTGTCAATTCGAGCAGTTAGTGTCGCTCTTGTCACGATATAGTGTTAATGTATGGAATAAATTATCTGGTATTGCAATTGAAATTATCCAGAATTAAAGGTATGTTCACAATGTGACCCGAAACTGAAACTTTCCATACATGTTGTATGCATGCACACTAGATGTGCATACTGTACGGCAGTGATGTATGTGTGTGT